ACGGGACATACAAGTGTCCAAGTAAGTAAAGTGGGTGAAATAGAGTCTGCTGCTATTTTGTAGTTTGTTCCTACTTACTACTTGTCTCGAACTATTTCCGTTATCCTGGTTTCCCGAGTTGTACCATGAGTAACCCAGATATGGAACAAAATTTGAAATCCAAGCATAATGTTTATGTTCAATGATAAATAGACTTGTAGTGTATTTTGTTGCTTATTTGTTGTTTTTATCGCTTTGTTAGTTATCATTTTTCTATCTTTTGAATCGCGTTTAGTCTAGGTAACAGATGCGTTAACTAGTGACCTGAAATTTTTGCTTTTAAAGGTTTTGTTAAGACCGATAGCAATGCAAATTCGGAAAGATGTACGTTTTGAGATGGAGTTCATGTTGATGAAGAAGTCGACGAACCGAATTTGTTTGAAGAGATGGAAGTCGATGCGCGGCCCGATGCACATTGGGCTACACATTCTGATGTTGTGCGTCAATAGATCGCTGACGTGCGGGTTTCCACTATTGAAAAATCTCATGATTTCATCCTCTTTAAGAGTTTGGCGATGATTTAGGTGTTAATATGAAAGACGAAGTGAAATCTTCGTTTTCACCCGATAAAACGATTTACCGTAGGAAACAAATGCTTATGGAATCCCTGGGTAACCTGTTCATTAGTTACTGCATGGGCACACTGTCTGAAACATTTCTAACGCGGTTGTTCACTAGATAACTTGAGCCAACACCGATAAAATCCTATTTTCATCACTGAACATGTTAGCTGTTGAGTGGGCTGAGCAGGTATTAAAGCATATTTGGTACAGAAAAATATATAGCTCTCGACGGCGATCTACCCCTAAAGGATGCGGCATACATTTTCTTCATTAAGCATCGTTGAGGCATCGTTGAAGGTGACTGAATGCACACCTGCCCATTATAAGGAGAGGGGGTGGTCCACTGATGTACCGAGCCAGTGCTGCTATCCTCACAGACAAGCTCGGTCCCAATTTGCGACCACTGGGCGGTAGAGGGCTTGGTGAACCCGGAGCGAGGGACAGATGCCATGTGTATTGCAGGACGCATCCAACTAGTGCGCTACACGCGTTCTGTGTATCTAGTATTAGGTCCTTTAATTTTGCTACTTCGGACACGAATCAGTTCATGGTTTCCTTCCTATCGCCATGTGCTGGCTGTATCACGGTTGGCTCTTCAGACTCTTCCAAGGTGAACGTAAATTTCGTTATGTATAACATCCTACGCAGACTCCCACGCACTTTGAAGTTGCCCGACAACAAACTTTTGCTCAAATGATCAATGAAAGAAATTCATCTCTTCAATCCCGGTCACTCACGAATCGACCGACGTGTATACGTCCTGAAACATGGGAGAAATAGATTATTGAAAGCTTGGAGACATTAAGTACAGGAGTCGATGGCGTCGGAGTTCGCGTCAACACTAATTTGTTCATGAACATGGATTCTTTCGACGAGTGCCTTCAGCAAGCACAACCCACTACTCTTGGACGCGACAGGGAAAAGTGGAAGATTTACTGGCACTCGCTCGAGTCACTCGAAAATCAACGGGACTACAGGGGAGACAGGTGATTATGTGACATAACCATAATGTTGCTGAGATATCTGNTAACCATAATGTTGCTGAGATATCTGCAAACTCCGGACCGCAGGTGTCTGCGGTGGGAAACGAACGCGCTATTACCCTTTTCGGAGGCTAACGCGTGATTTACACCATCGCTTTAGCTTAACTGGGTTTATGCTGATTTGTGCTCTCCAGATCAGTTTTGTTGACGGCTAATTGCTAATAGCGCCCAGAGGTCAATGACACGGCTGAGACATAGGCGAAACGAAGGGCTGGCATGGTGTGGCGGTGAACGCTTTAGTCGCCAGAAACGCTGATTGATCGTACGTTCCTCACCGCAGACACACTTCTGACCATTGGGTTGTAGCTACATCGAAATTTAACGCTAGTTTTGCTAAGAAATTGCATCGCTTGGTGCTCACTCTATGGTGGTGCTTTTGATTGTTTGCTAGGCTAGAGATCTTTCACTTGTTAGATATTTGAGGAATACAGCAGTCGGTTTATTAACGAATTGTTTTAGATTTGGTGGTGCTTTTAAAGTTTCTCATAGTAATAAAATTTCTGAAGTTCGAAATTATTCCAAAAAATCCAAATGTATTCCAAAAAAAACGAAGAATTCAAGTGCACTGGTAGCCACCACGAAATTGACTGCGTCTGAAGCGCCGGCGGCGGCCATCCAGTTGGAGATCAACAACGCCGTGGAAAACCATTTCCACTCACAGACATCCATTCGGAATTGACGTCATGGAATTGCGTAGTAATCCCTTAAATTAAGTATACTGTTGCGAGCACTGTAAAAAACAGCATTTCCTTAGCACCTCGTCTGGTTTCGTTTGAAGCAGATATTTTCTAGCAATAAATCGTCTAATTGTCTATATTGTTATACTATTACTTTTGGTAGCACTACCACTATCTGGTAATTTCTCAATCTAGAATGATTTTAGTCCGTTCTTCTACAACCTGTTTAGTAGATCCTACTGCTGGCCGCAAAAATAAAATAGTATCGGCTAATTTTTAGCAATTAATTAAATAGTGTTACCTAGTGTATAGCATCCGCGTAAACTAAGTTAAATTTTTAGCTCCCTTTTTGTCGCCTGGTAAATGGAAAACAATGATCGACATGTTAGAACGGCTCGTTGATATCGTAATACCAAGTAGTTAAGAAGATTCGCTCGAAATTTGCTGCTCGCCTTTGTCTGTGCCACGCGGGACTCCTTCTGATTAGCAGTCACAATGGCAAACATTTCAAACTCGGATAATTAAACCGTTTAATATAATTATACAAGAATTATGGCATAACAGTACAACTGTACAATTAATACAACAATGATACAAGTAATGAATAGGCGCAGTTTGATCACTCGCGATCAGGATGCTTATGAGTGAAGAGGTTTATCATATGACTTCTACTACATGAGATGGATGTGAGGAAAAGACATGGCGACTTAGGCATCCTTGCTGTGAACTGAGCCAGCTAATCGTGGATCCGTTTATATACCTTTTCGGCTGGATGGAGTCAGGCACCATTAGGCGGGGTCGGGCTGCAGTATGCGGAAATGTGGGTGTTGGAAACATTTCTCAAGCATTGCAATCTGATAAGGCGATAGTCAAAGCATAGGACTGTAACTGCAGATATTTTTTATGAGATAACCGCCAACGAAATGTTAAACATGAAGTTATCGGATCGTCATCGGATACAGTATTCGAAATGTTTGACATATGTCAACAGATCGTCGTAGCAGAAAGTTCGACGGAAACAGTATTCGAAACCTTTTATATCCAGAACATTCCAATGTTTGTAAAGAATATTCTCTATATGACATGAATGTTTGAAACAGTGATGCAATTCCATAAAATAGGGATGATAGAGAATTATGCAAGTGGTCAATTCTCACTGAGCGTTCCGTTGTTTAAGGAACAGTCTGGGATTGCAGAAAAGCACGGACATCTACTAGCCAGCAACACAGCCTCGTCTCCTTCTCTTAAAGCGCTCAGTAATGGAGGACATTGCACAAAAACGTTGATGTAAGCAGCTTCTGGATTTATGTCGAGCTTGAAACGGGAAAAAACTTGTGCGCGTCGAAATTTTTGAAATAACTTTAAAAAAATAGAAAAATCGAACGCCTTTCTAATTGCAACGCATCTCACATGACTACAAAAGAGTTTTAGCTGGAAAAAACAACTGAAAAGTCACTTTTAACAGGACCAGCGAAAAGAACGAGACTTTTGAAGACGCAACGAATGGGAGTTAGTTTGGACGCCGCCACCGGAAAGTTCGCTAATGGGGAAGTTTTTTTCTGACCATGCTGAGGGTGCAATGGCATTTTGAAGAAATTCTATACAGATTTCAGATAATGGGCTTTACGAATAAATTGGTACAACGATGACAGCAAAGAATTGGTATAATCGATAGCGAGTGGATTCCTCTTCGAATATCTAAAAATGCCCAGGACCGACTTTCCATTGACCTCGGCAATGATCGATAATTCGCTGTTTTTCTTCAACGAGCAAATCGTTCTATGCCTAAAGAGCTCCAAACTGCCGCAAATCTGTGAAAGCGTAACATTTGCCATCCCACATTGACTTTCACAGTCACTGTGTCACTTGTAATTAAAACGCTTTCCGGGTAAAGACGACGATTTTTATAAACTCATTTAGGATAAAAAAAATTTAATCTGCTTATAGAGGCATAACAGAATGCTCAGCAGCTTTCACCTTTGGCACTTTTGAAGTCACTAATTCTTCAAGCAGATTCAATTTCCGACTCAGATAGATCCACATGTCGCCGTCTTGACTTGGAGAGCAAAGCCAAGTAGACCGTTTTTTTGTTCGCAATTTTAACTTATTATTTACTACCAACTATTTTCAACGGCAGGGTATACATTGTGAAATATAACTTCAATAATGCTGAGATATTTGCAAAACTCCGGACCGCAGGTGAATGCGGTGGGGAATGAACGCGCTACTCCGCGGGAAGGACAATAGCTCGTTCGTTCCCCACCGCATACACTTCCGGTCCGGCGTTCTTTTGCTATTGAATTTCATTCGCTTTTTATCTCGAGTTATTCACAAAAAGAGAGTGAAAAGTAAACAGCATAAGGGAAAATACTCTCAAATGCCTTTGATGGAATCCACAATGATGCTCTTTCAATGAATTTTTGCTTTCTGCTTGATCTTCAATGAATGGAAAAAAGCATTGTGAAGATCAATAAGATAGATATGCACCTCATCACTGCAATTAATAACAGATTCCAAGGTTCTCTAGACTTTAGCTCTCTAGCACAGATGATCAGATAGAAATGTTCAACGCAATGAATTTCTGAAAACTCATCAACTTTCTTGCGGCGAACAAAACCTAACTCATTATATGTAAGGCAATATTTCCGACGTTTTCAAAAACTGATTAAAGGTATTCCTCACATAATCTGTAGCTTCGATGAAACTGGCAACACACCGACATCATTGAAGCTCTCGTTGACAAAATTCCAGACATCGATCTCAATGCAAGCCAAGATTTCCTGATTCTCAGTCGAATAACGAAAGTTCTTAAAACAAACACTCAGATCGCACATTTAATGAAATTGGACGCAAAAAGAGGTACTACAATGGAAAACAGCAGATGAATGTAAGAACACTATATCTAATTTCGCTGATCCTTACCCCTTTTCCGATAGTAACTCTTTCACCAATTTTTCCACTTTTCCACAAGAAGGTCATCGGTCCTTTCTCATCGCTTTCAACCCGATCATCGGCACGAAGCAACTAAATAAGTGAACACAGAAAGCAGGAGTTGGCAATGAAATAGTGTTGTTTTGCCTGTACGACTACAAATACTTGTCCTAGCAACTGAAATATAGAAGGGTTCCAAACGCTGAGCAGCCAAAGAGGGCACTAAACCTAAGATGTCTTGCCTTTAATTAGATCAAATATTCAAACCTACCATCTCGGAAGGAAAGGTCTCCTTACAGTCAGATCGTAGGATCGCAAACTACTTGATTGCACCGTTGGTCGCAAATATCGCTTCTTTGTCTTTCCTTGCACCATTTAGAAATCGATTTAGAGCATAATCGAAACTGTTTACAAATGAAAGGAAAATACTGAAAAAACATGCGTCATAACAGACAGAATTCCTAAATAATCGAGAACTCCTGAACGGTCGAGAACAATGGGAAAAAAATGAATAGGAACTGAAAGCTCTGCCTGTTGTAAGTAAACAGTCATCTTCATTGCTGTCGCAATCAAATTCGAAAAGATCGCTGAAGTTAGTTAAAACTCCTCTTCCAACTAAGGATACAGAGCCCCACCATCAAATTTTAGAAAAAAGACCCCGGCGATTTGCGACAGCAGGGTTCTTCGAGGAAGGCCTCTTGCTATCGCAGATACGAGCCTTCACGAAAGAAAAATGTAAGAAAAGTGAAGTAAACCGTCCACATCCTCTGAACATAACAGAATCGTCACCAGAGAATAACAAAAAAAAACCTTAAAACCTAAAAAAAGCATGTGCATTCCAATATAGACCGTCGGTGTTCACCCGATATAGTGGAGTTTATTATGCATGTACAAGTCGTATATGTCCGACACTATCGTGAATGTGCTGGGGGCATCACTGGACAACGCAACACATCGTAATACAATTCACTAAAAGGAAGGTCCTAACTCACGTATTATATGTTCTTCCATCAATAATTTGCTCAACATTTTGGTAGCGTAGACCCTTATAACCCAAAGGGCATCCGCAAGCGAAACCGCGGGTGCAATCAATGAATGATCCAATGTTAAGGCAAGTTGTAAGCAGTAAGACCGAAATATGCTAGTAACATCGAAGGAGGTTTTGAGAAAACGGCTGTGACATTCCAAACACTCGATGAATACTTAAAAGCAACCCAGCTGAACACATCTCAAAGCGTTTCGGTCATGCAGTTCTTTTGAGTCCACGTTAGCACACGTGGCACCGTTTTCGCATGGCGACAGTAAGCATTCATTGACGTCACAATTCATCAAAGACCAACAGCAAGCACTGCATGTCGAACCGACATGGGCTGTTGACATTTGCAAGAAAATGAGTGAGCCCAGAGGCATAAGAATAGTCTTTTCCAAAAAGTGCGCTAACGTATCCGAGCGAAACTATATGATGGGTATAGAAATCACTATAACCGCCGTTTAGTTAATATTAGAAATCAAACCCTCGCGATACGTTTACCATATTCACACGCATACGGACGATAAGAACCGATTTTAGTCTTCAGTGCTGATTGCACCGAATAACATTACCATTAGTAAACCCAAGAGAGCAATACGGCGACACGAACTAGAAGATTGGTCTGTATGCTGCGCTTAGCCAAAAAAGACTAAGAAAGTCAGGACAACACAAAGAATTGAAATATGGTCTACTAGCAATGTAATAAAAATGTCTGCTAAATATCACGAAAATAACACAACTAAGGCATTCCTATAACCTCAAACAAGTGACAGGTATGTTACAAAACAAAACCTCAACGACGTCAGTCACATTCCTTGAATAACGAAAGCCACGGGGCCCCGTGCTGGGCATTGGTTGTGAATAACAACAGCAATAAATAATAGAAAAAAACAAAAAACATAAAAAAGTTGACTCTCTGTAAAGCTGTTAGAAAACTATTTAACCTATCTCTTCACAAGAATAAGAAAAACGATTTATGCACAGAAGTGGAAAGCAAACACACTACGTTAACAACACTCAGCTGATTATAGTCTAACATCGAAACGTTCCGTCGAAAGTATGGTTGGTAGAAAAATAACGCTAAAAGATTGTAAGGAATAAATTAGGTAATTAATATAGGAAATACGGAAGTGACAATAACTTTCAGCATGACATCCGACGTGGCTTGGTATAGACAGTGACAACAGATTCGTCAGTAAGGAAAAAAAAAAACAAGAAACCCGGAGTTGCTGCTTTGCACTGATCACTTCGCTGTAGAAATGACTTACTAAGGTGGAAAGATGAAACAATGCTCATGTCGAAAAAGTATTTATGAGCTTCTAGTGGGGAATAACAATCAAAACGTAAGGAAGTGGGAAAGCACGTGGGAGAGGCAAAAATATAACTCGGAACTGAGAACTGAGCTCACTGGGTTAGAAGTGGACGATGTACAGTCTGCAAATCCCTGCTTTATTGAGCACTCGGTGCACAGAATACCCTTCCCGCAAATAATACAGAGAACATCACTGTTGACAAATTATGGAACAGCCGGATAGAATGCTTATCCGGATGAATGCAGAAAGCAGTAAAGGGCGACAAAACAATGTTTTCTAACATGGTTTCGGTGTTGTATCCCTTCAAAACAAAACCTCTCGGCCACGATGAGGCGGTAAACCGTTGGGAGGTTCGACGAACCTACTTCTGCGAATTCAAACCCGGTCGTAATACAACCGCAAATGGCCCAAAACATTTATGAAATATGGGCCAATGCAGTGTAGAAGAAATGCACAGAGCGGTTATGGTTCAAAAATTTCGTCGTGATCATCTCGAAAATCTTAAATCCTTATTGTTTTTGCAGTATTATTGAATTTTTAGTGTTAACTGAGAAATATGTATGAACCACGTACTAACTCAAAGCCACACGTCAATCGTTGAATGAACCGGTTGGTCACCAGCGTGTTGAAACTCGTACCAGTCACCATTTTGTTAAAGCAAATTGAAAACCTATTTGGATGTTCTGCCATTGTATAAATTTGCCAAGAGCCAGTACGTCCTTTTATGGCAAGAGATGTTTTCAATTCTTTTTATGGCAAGATGTGTCAAACATTTAGCTCCTTCCATGTAAATGTTGGTGAAGGAGAAGAGTATTAATTGCAAATGCTTTAGTTCTCAGGGATTGCATGCGATGTGTAGAAAGTATGAACTGTAGAAACATAAAAACTTAACAAAATTTGTTTAAATACGATATAGAATTTTGTCCTTCTTTTTGAACTACAGAAGTTTCTCTGATGGCAGTTCTCTTCATCAGCAAGTCTCCAGCTTACGAAAAGAACTCGTTCGGGAGGAACTCTTCTCAAATTATTTAGTGCATGAAAGAGAATAGATATTTAAGTTTCGTACTTACACAGTCTATCTTAGATAAGCAGCCAATAAAATACAAAAAGCACGAAGAGCCTTCATATTGTCGCAAAATTGATTCTCTTCCTCCTCCGTTTGTGCATTGGAGCAAACTGTCTCATATCGACGTGTAAGTGTTAAAACACTTGTCATTTTTCTCCTGTTATCCACAAATTTACGAACACGTAAGTTTCACGATTTATTGCTTGTTAAGCAAGCTTATGGCGATGAGATAGACAGAGTGCTTTGTAACTAAAGGTGCATTTCGTTTGCAATGGTTTTTTTTNTTTTTTTTGCGTGAGCTCTTTTTGCCGCTCCTTTGTACCTCATCGATGTTTTGTCCAACAGTGATATGATAAAATGCACGGCTCATGAAAGGCCATTCTCAGTAGTTGATAATTTGCAAAAGAACCTTTTTTCGAAAAATTCACTGGTCTGGACACTGGACCGGTATTCGACTTTATTTCAACTCTAATCGCTTTTTGAGTTATGGATAACGTATAAAATTGGCGGATATAGTAAATCGTGTAGTAAACACAACATGATTTGCAAATCACCTTCAAATTGTAGCAACAATGTGTTCGAAAGGTGAACCGCGGTAACATACAGAAAATAGTGCATACATAATAAGCATACATCTAGAGCGACGGAGCAGGCCCCTTTTTAATTCCACGGCGTTCTCTACTCTTCAGACCTCTAATTGTCTGAAAACTATGCTCTATTGTCTAAAAAGTGGCATGCCCGTAATTAAGCTTTGTCCATCTTTGAGTCATTGAAGTTCATTCGAAAGGCCTTTCGCTGTAAAACAAAGCGAGAAGAAACAAATGAAAATGAATACCAACAAGAAGCACCGGCACTACAGCAGCTGTTTTTCTCGAGCTTTTTTCAGCAGACAAACTCTGAAAGCGAAATGTAAAAGAAGGTACTAATTCCCTTTTGGTGAAAAAATGGATTAACCTAGGATGAAGATGAGACGAACTGGACGGGAAGCACTCATTCACTTTAACCAATTTGATTATTAGTGTACAAGTAGTAATCACCAAACACATCCCGCAACATTTCGTGAGGCGGCATAGAAAATGATCAAACGTCTTTTGCTAGATGCCTATATAGCACGAGTCTTAGTACTTTATTCAAAACAAGTTAGGTGCATGAAGGAGAGATATCTGCATTGGAATTGGTTTGAAAGATGGTACCAAAAAGCACGAGATTTTTATCGTTATTAAAGCAAATAGAATTTTTTCGACCTGTTGAAGTTGCAATGTTCTACAAAGGAGCAAATCTGAAGGAAACATAGTCGGGTTGAGTGTATTTGTTACAATGGATGTGATAACCTCTATCATTAAAATCAGGTAGAAAGGTACAAAATTGAATTAAGAGAACGCTACAGTCTCCCATCGTGTGATAAGAATGCAAGAACAAAAATCCTCAGCACCGATGAACTAACTCAACAAAGTCGTAACAACAAAAGTATGCTTGCCCAGCTACTGATCTAGAATTATAAAACTTAAGAGATATGCTAAACTGCCGTATATCACCTGTCACCTCTATCGCCTGTAGTTCCGTTGATCATTGAATGACTCGAGCGGGCGCCAGTAAATCTTCCATTTTTACCTGTCTCGCGCAAGAGTTTCTCAGTGGGTTCTGCTCCCTCTTGGAGCACTTTGAGCATCACATCTTTTTTCTAGGCTTTTCGTAAAAAACTATAACCATCGTGTCGGTGGTTTTCTCGCAGTATGTTTGAAATCCCGAAGAACCCATTCACCAACGACTGCCTCTTGTCCATTGGTTGCCGTTCAGAAGCATTAAGCGTGCAGCACACCTCATTTTCGGCGGTTCAAAATATAGAACGGTGCTTTTATTTTTGGTCGTTCACATAATTCGAGGCTTTGTGTTCCTTCATTCACTTGAGTGGTACGGGGCACTTTCAACGTCGTCCTTTTTAGTGCGTTTTCAGTGGTGATGAGTG